AGTCCACGTAGAATTATACTGGTAGAGTGTGTCTAGACTGGCAAGTTTTTTTGCAAAATCATTTGATTTTGCGGAAAAACTTGCCAGCTGTCGACATTGACCACTTGAATTTCCGCAAGAACACTGACGATCTCTTGTAAGATCTCTTGTAAGATCGTCAGTGTTCTTGCGGAAATACTATGCTGCTCCCGTTCGGGCAAAAGTCTTTTTCCGAAAGACTTTTGCGCAAAAGGGCCAGTGTAGACAGCACAGTAGTGTTTTCCGCAAAAATGCCCCGATCGTGAAAATGGCGATCGGGGCTTTTTTGCGGAAAACCACGTCTAGATTGGCCACGGACGCTTTTCCGAGCATCCTGCCAATCTAGATGTGCTTTTTCGAAAATGCTTTTAACGGAAAACTTTTCTGTTAAAAGCATTTTCGGAAAATCATGCCAGTGTAGATGTAGCCATAGTGTTGGTAGGAGGAGTCCTATGGGTCAATGCAATGATCATAGGTGGAAATATTCCTTCAGTTGGAGGCAGTTATTCTGAAAGTAGGTTTCCAGATCACCGCAGAATTGTATCATGTGTGTGGGGTTGGTGGAGCAGAAAGAGTCCCCAAGATAGCCTGGCAGAAGAATCTGTCCTAAGTGAGTGGTTGGATAGATCAACAATGTTGTTAGGTGAGTTGAGGATACCATAGTTGTATGTAGTACCCTGTGGTATATAGGAGTTTAGATAGTTTGTTACCCTTTTTCTCCTGCAGGGAAGTAAAGTGAGCACTGTAAATGGCTTATCTTGTTTTGGTAAAGACCAGTTACGTGGAATTTTGTGTAAGATCTCTTGTTTTGAGAGCTCATTCTTGATTTTCTTGTGTTTATTATAGAGGATGCTGATTAGATGGTTCCTCAGTTTCTTTGAGAGCGTGTGGCACAATTTCTCATTGTAGTTTGTGTAGTATGTTGATTGTAATGGATTGTTCACTTTCAAGCCAAAATTCATCTACTTGCACTTGGAAAAGAAGATGATGTCTGTTTGAATCTATGCAGGTTTCTTCATGAAACTGATGGGTTTCCACTTCGTGCAGTGTCTTGAATGGTAAAAAGTCTAAAAGGGGTATCTGTGTTTGTAACTTTAAAAACAACAAGCAATCCTGTGGTACCTCAGAGACTAACAAAAATATATAGTATCATGAGCTTTCATGGGTAAAACCCTTTTCATCAGATGATTATGAAGCAGAAATTACACCGATAACTTACCACTGTAAATAACTTTATTTGAGGGATCAGGGAATATATTTAGATCGTACAGTGTGGTGTAATATATTTATTACAGTTCCTATCTGCAGTGTTATATTGTTTTATGTGCCGGAATATACAGGCAGTCCCCAGGTTACATGGATCCGACTTACATCGGATCCCTACTTACAAATGGGGTGAGGCAACCCTGCACTAGCTGCTTCCCCACAGCAGACCAGGGAGACGCGAAGCTAGTGCCCCCCCCCCCAGCAGACCAGGGAGACGCGGAGCGGCTTTTCTCAGTAGACACCTCAGCTTGAGAATAAAGGACTGAGGGAAGTGAGGTGTGGGAGAATAAAACTGAGCTCTGGAGAAATGTTTGGCTAGAGTTTCCCCTACAATATGTACCAGTTCTGACTTACATACAAATTCAACTTAAGAACAAACCTACAGTCCCTATCTTGTATGTAACCCGGGGACTGCCTGTATATCATACTAGCATAGTTACCTAGCATTGCTCGGGTACTCTAGGAGAGGCTCAGGTCCGGGGCTGTGTGTGGGGTGTGAGGAGCAGGAGTGAAAGCAGGGGAGGGCTCGGTGCAGGGCTGGGGGTTACAGGAGTCAGGTGAGGGATTGGGGGGGCCTTGCTACACAGCTGCCATCTCCCCAAAGCTGGCCAGTGGGTGCACTGGCTGGACAAAGACTCCATGGGGCTGGCAGAGCCTGCAGTGTCCAGCTGGATTCTTCCCTAGGGTTGCCAGATACTTTCAGAAAAAATCCTGAACATTGCGGGGGAAAGATTGGTTGAGCGGGAAAACCAAACCAAACCAAACCAAACCAAACCAAAAAAGACCACTGGGGGACCAAACTTTGAGGGGGAAAAGAAAAAAAAAAAAAAAAAAAAGGACCTGTCAGACACAGCAGGGGAAAAATGTCCCTGCTGGCCTTTCTTCCGAGAAAAACAGAAAATACCTGTATTTTCTGTTTTGTTTTTTCACCAGACAGAAGATGCAATTACCGGACTATCCAGGCAAAAACCGGACACTTGGCAACCCTAGTCTCCCCAAGGCTGGCCTGGGCAGTGGAAGCCACCAGGTGCCACCCCCAGCTGGTCACTTTGCTCCTGCTCCCTTTCCATTTGATTAGAAACAGTCGAATTCCAGGCATACCCCATCGTCCTGACCATAGGCGTGCACAGCACATTTCATTAGGGTGTGCACCCAAAGAATTTTTTAAAAAATGTACTTTGACCCCCCCCCATTAGCCACACCCCTGACCCCTGTTAACCACGCCCCTGACCCCCATTAGCCACGCCTCTGGAGGTAACCCTCTCCGGGCAAGATGGGCACATGACCAAAAGTAAAAAGTGTTATGTGACCCCTCCCCCCCCCCACAAGGACTTTTCCCACCATCCTCCTACCAATAGGGATTAGTTTGGCCCCCCAATCCTCCCCTATGCAACTATCCTGCAATTGCATTAACCCAATGTGTGTGACATTAATACAGAGGTGGAGAGGCTGGGGGAAGTGTTCTCTCTAAGAATTTCCTCCCATGAGCAGAATGAATTTTGTGTTGTGCACCAGTACTGAGTTCCTGTGGCTTGTTTGGATGTGCCATTGTGGCACCCAAGTTATTAATAAATATCGTATAAACCTCTACCTTTTCCCTCTGCTGCCATGTCTCCTCCCCTTGCTCCATCAACTCCACTGGTGCCTGCTCCCCCCACAACCCCTCACCCTCCTCTGCTGTCCTGACTCCTGCCCTTCTCACTGCCCTCAGCCTTCCTGAGACCTGCCTCTCTCCACTAGC